CGACACCCTGGCTAGCATGTCTAATGCAATTCACAAATGTGATATAACTGAGATAATCACTTTTGAGTTGGGAAGAGGGCTAGCTTGCCAACAACTTTGTTTTATAAAAACAGGTTTGTTGGACAGAACCAATTACTTGTCCTAAAACTATCTAGAATCCAATTATAATTTTAATTGTTCGGCAAAACAAAGTACTTTCCTAAAACAATCTAGAATCCAATATATATTCATTTGTTTGTTCGAGAAGCTTAGTTAATGAAACAGTCCAAATGCATAATATATAAGTAATCGGTGGAGGACTTTTACGTATCAGACCAGCAGCTATACGACATTTTTGCCGAGTGAAGCAACGGCTAACTCAAGGCTGCCCAGGCGGCTATAACTGAAAAGATTTACATAGACATTGAAGTGATGTTGTTGATTGGGTTGACATCTCCTCTTTTGTACATGTTCACATGATTTAACGTCAAAAATGTTGCAGTACATTTTTATAGACAAACACATATTGTCCATTACAAGTACGCTCTTGTTGCATTAATTACAGCTAATGATTGGAAATTATAAATTTGACTTAGTTCTGGGACGAGTTGGCAAAATAAAATCTTACTATTAGCGTAAAATTATCTGAATGCTGCAATTCTCTCTCAACCAGGCTCAACATTTTTTGTGTTTCATCTGCGTCATCCAAGATGATAAATGACTTGGCCATTTCTCTTAGTTGGTGCTTCTAATCTTTTTGGGTGCCGGTCATAGGTAACTTTTCACGAATTGCACATTCTTTGGCACCATAAATCTTGGAAAAAATTTCGTACAAATATACAATGATATTCGAGTTTTTGATCAGTGTGATAGACAAAGGAATAAGAAGTTTGATCCCGCCTAGGATGTGGCATGGCAACAAAATATGCCTTTACAACACTTGGTTGTTTCGTAATTGCATTTTTCACTTCTAGTGACCTAAAATGATGAGTTTCATTTTTAGTATCGAGTTTAAGGTAAATTTAAATGACACCAAATAGCCGATTTGAACATCTCTATTTAAAATATATTTACTTAATTTTTAAAAAATATTTAAAATTTAACTAGTTTTGGAAAACTTCAAGCCGCTCATGTTGTTATTAATGGTGTTGCTTTTTCTTCATCCAGCCTTCGGCACAATTTTATACCGGCTGTCGGGTGTCTGAATTTGAATTATATTCTAACTTCAAACCATCAATTTCAACTTCAAACCTGTAAATTTGAATTATTTTGTAAATAGGGGTCCCAAAAACGGCTGCTTGTGCACTTCCCCAAGTTTAAGATAGTAAAAATTGTGAACTTGATGATAGTAAAAATTGTGAACTTGATGAAGTTCATATGAAAATTCGGAATGTATAATTTACCGTATGAGAGGAGAAGTGAGGTATTACTTCATTTCTTAGTGGATAAAAATATCTGTACATTTTAGTTAGACCTATATACAATTTGGTCAAAGTATAATCGGAAATGGGCCAAATATACCCTTGTACTATGAGAAAATGTTTAAATATATTTCTTGTTATACTTTAGGTCCAAATATACCTTTATCGTAATACTATTGGTTCAAATATACCCCTCATCCGTTAAGTTTGTCCAAGATGAACATTCAACCCTATGTGGCACTGACATTTGATGAGGTAGATGTCGCGTGGCATGCCACCTCAACGTCCCTAACCGAAAGAAAGCTCAAAACATACTGCTTGACTTGAAGATTATTAGAAAGCTAACCCAAAAAAGCGCCCCTAACCCAAACAATCTTGAGGCACTAAAGAAAGCTCAAAACGAAATAGACACTCACATAGGACAGTCACCAAGATTACTTGATGACTCAAACCTTGCTCAACTCCCTTATCTCCGCGGAATCATAAACGAAACTCTCCGAATGTACATTCTCCACATATATGCTATGTTGAGGTGGCATGCCACATGGCATTTACCTCATAAAGTGTCAGTGCCACGTAAGATTGGATGTCCACCTCGGACAAATTTAACGGACGAGGGATATATTTGAACCAATAGTATTACGGCAAGGATATCACTACAAGAAAGTGAGGATACGACGACATTTATTTAGTGACATTTGAAATAAATGTCGGAAAATCGTGAAATTCATGTCATTTATGAATAAATATCGTAAAAACTACGACACTTGATACAAAGTGTCGCAAAAACAACGACATTTGACACTAAGTGTCATCAAAATATGATATTTGATACAAAATGTCATAATAATGACGACATTAATGAAGAAATGTCGTCAAAATTACGACATTTGATACAAAATGTTATAAAAATAATGACTTTTGATACTAAATGTTGTAAAAAAATGACATTTGATACTAAATATCGTAAAAACAACAATATTTATGAAGAAATATCGTAAAAACAGTAACATTTATGAAGAAATGTCGTGAAAACTACATCGATTGATACTAAATGTTGCAAAAAAGTAACATTTGATATACGATGTCGATTAATGTCTTAAAAGTCTTTCTGGGACTCGTCTATGACTCACTCCTGGGCGAGGCACATGTTGCGATGCCTCACGTGTGAGGTTTACGCCCCAAATGTCTAATTGTGCATCCTGAACACGCATATCTTCAGTGTTCGGGAGTTACTACATAAATCATATGTTAAATTTTCTAATTTGTAATATTGACCCTCAAAATAATTTAACAAATGAATGATAAAAGTTCAATTCATATATATAAATATGAAGATTGAGATTACATAAGATATCGAGTCATAATATTGTATATTTACTATTTGAGTGAGAACATCGTGAAGGTGAATATCATTTGAATATTTCTTTTGAAAATGAATAGCAGAAATTTATATCTTCACTTGCTATTGCTCTTTATTTCCTAGCTTTATGTCTTCCAAAATTATGAGACTTATTCTTTTACTACAATTGTACTTATTTATGAAGGAGTAATATTTTAAATTATAGTACTTATAAAGTTTATTGATTATTTACTTTTTGAGAGGTAATTAACTTTGTAGTTTGTTAATATTTTAAAAAAAATTAATATTTTAATTATTTGAAAGTTCAAACGTTATAGCTGATTTATAATAATAAACTTAACACTATTGTGTTATTTATACTAATAAAAGAATTCCAGATATTTTATTTTTCTATGAGTTTCTTTAATATTTTTTAATTTTATTAAATTTTTAATGTACTTTCGATATTGTTTTATTATGTTATTTTTATAATTTATAAAAAAAGTTTAAAGATTCCCGTATTAAGTGATACGTTAATCCTTTTTAAAAAATGTTGCCGATTTAAAAAAATTTGACTAAAATTTCAATGTTCCATAAAAAAATATTATTGCTATTACTTACTAGATGTTGAATTTAAAAGATAAAAATACAAAATTAAATTATACGTAGGACAAAGGCACCTAAATTTATAATTGACCACAATTGCCAACTAAAGGCCCAAAGATTAGCCGTGATACTCCTAGGGCTCCTTTGTTAGAAGCACCTCAAGACCCTAAGATGCAGGGATTTCTCAATTCGGCCGTGATACTTTTTCCTCTCTTTTCTTTGCCTTATTTTCTTTCTTTCCTCTTTTCAGTTGCTGCTATTATACTCATTATACAATATGTTTGTTTTTTAGAATCCCAATATGTTATTTTTGGTATCCCAATTTGTTATAATCGAAGAGGAAAGAATTTCTTTTATTATATAGTTATATTTTTTTTCTGTATGACTTCCTGTGCAACATTTTTGAAGGAGAATTACTAGCAATGAAAAGCTTGACTCTTGTAGAGCAGGTTTCAAAAAGCTTTGTTGCAGGATTTAGTCTAGAAGTTATAGGGAATTCATTTGAAAGTAATAATACCGTAGTTACCTGTTGATCTTTTTTGATTTAGTCGGATTTGAGGTTTACTTGAGAACAAATCATTTGATTTGGCGTACTCTATACGGCTGACATTTGTGGATGTACCAATTGAATGTAAAGTGTTAAGATAAAACTAAATGGAGGATTATTATTAATATTTTAAAAAATTTGGTACCGACATTAATCTGAATGTTGGAATTCTTAATACGATATTTTTAAAAGTTGTGAAAAAGTCACTAATCGTATTTGACAGTCATGTAAATGTAAATACGACATTTTCGTATATATCATAAAATTTCTTACTGACATTAAAAGTAAATATCGTAAATTTCTTATTGATATTTACCTAAACATCGTAAAATAAATGTCGTAAATTTCTTATCGACATTTACTTAAATGCCTTAAAATACATGTCGTAAAATTCTTACCGACATTTACCTAAATGTCGGAAAATAAACGACACTGAAATTTACAACATTTGATGCATATGTAAAATAAATGTCGATAAATGAATATGTGATATTTAAGAATCTTAATATGACATTTAATAAATGTCGTCGTATCTTCATTTTCTTGTAGTGTATATTTGGACCCAAAGTATAACTAGGGATATATTTAAATCTTTACTCATAGTACAGGGGTATATTTAGCCCTTATCCAAAGTATAATTGACCCAAAACTCAAAGTCAGTAAAACAAATGGGCTCTCTTGTAAGAAATAGGCCTAGTAGCATGTTATACAAATAAATACAATGTGACCTAAAAAGTCATGTGGGATGAGCTTCAGACTAGGCCTGCATGTAATTGGGCTGCCCTCCAACTTCAATTCCAACACCCCCCTCAAGTTGGAGGGTGACTGCACACCCAACTTGAGCAAAAGAGAATGATGGACCACACCGAGAGGCTTGGTAAATACATCAACCGGCTAATAGGAAGTGGGAACATGATGCAAAACAATCAACCCTTCACCAAGCTTGGTTATAATAAAATGGCAGTAGACCTCAATGTGCTTGGTCCGCTCATGAAAAATATGATTTTTAGTAATGTGTATCGCTGCTTGGTTATCAAAGAACACAGGAACAATAACAGGAACTGAGATACCAAAATCACACAGCAGTCGCACAACCCAAACCAACTCAGTTACAATTACTAATGGCTCTGTGTTCAACCTCAGCTGAAGAAAGAGACACAACAGGTTGTTTATTTGCCTTCCAGCCAACAAGAGAATCACCTAACAAAATGCATAAATCAGTCACTGACCTCCTGGTGTCTGGGCATGCAGCCCAGTCCCTCTCACAATATACAGATAAGGAGAGATCATGAGAGTTACTAATGAACACCCCAATATCAGAGGACCCCTTAAGGTACCTGAGGATGTGCAAAGCAACATGCATAAGGGAAATAGATGGGCTATGAAGAAACTGGTTCAGATGCTGCACTGCAAAGGATAAATCAGGCTTGATATGGGTAAGGAAGTTAAGCTTACCCAGACTTCTATGTAGCTCAGGAGATAGCATAAGTTCACGCATATCAGCCTTCACTTTGTGATTCAAATCAATGGGGCAAGTAACAGAACTGACATATTCACTATGGTACTCTTTGAGAAGATCTCTGATAAATTTCTTTTGTTGCAATAGCAGGCCAGAAGGAACATAGGCAACTTCAATTCCTAAAATAATATTGAGAGTCCCTAAATTCTTGATTTTAAATTGAGTGTCCAAAATGTCTTCAAGGCAGAAAACTCCTCTAAGTAATTACCAGTCAATATGATGTCATCTACATACACAACCAACAGAACAATAGAAGAACCACAATGCCTTGAGAACAAGGAGTAATCATTCAGGGAGTGAGTATATCCTCTGGAGTATAAAGCATGAGATAACTTAGCATACCATTGCCTAGATGTATGTCTCAGACCATACAAGGATCTTTGAAGATGACAGACCAAAGGAAAGGAGGAACCAAAAGAGGAAGTAGCACACAACCCATAGGGAAGCTTCATGTAAACCTCTTCATCTAAATCACCATGCAAAAAAACATTGTTGACATCTAATTGAAAGAGAGGCTAGCTTCTTTGGACAACCACAGTAATCAGACATTTAACAATAGAGAACTTCACAACATGGGAGAATGTTTTATTGAAATTCACACCTTCAACTTGAGTGTTCAGACATAACTATCCCAGCCTTGTATCTCTCCACAGTCCCATCAGCCTTGTACTTGATCTTATAGACTCATTTGCACCCAATGGGGTTCTTTCCAACGGGCAATTCAACTATGGACCAAGTGTGATTAGCCTCAAGACCCTCAAACTCCTTCCTCATAGCCTCTTGTCAGAAAGGAATAAAAGAAGCTTGTTGGTAGGAATGAGGCTCAAATTTAGTAGTGTCAGCTAAGTTATAAAGGCATGCATAAGTAGAACTAGAATCACATAAAGAAGGAGGGATATCACATGCAAACTGTTAAAGATGAGTAGGAAGAGTATGAGTCCTGGCAGACCTCCTAAGTACATGGGAGAGAGATGCAGGGAAAGAAGCAGAGGAACTAGTAGAAGATACAAGTGCATGAGAAGAATGAATGGGAAATGAAGAAGAAGGAGTGGAAGGATCAGAAAGGTGAGAGGAAGAAGGAGCAGGAAAGACAGAAGAAGGAGAAGTAGGAGATGATGAAAAAGGAAATATATCCTCATAAAAGATCACATCCATAGATACTAGGGTGAGATTAGTAGTGAGGTTGTAAAGCTTATACCTCTTTTTAGTGAGAGGATGTCCCAGAAAAACACAAGGGTCAGCTCGAGGCTGAAATTTATTCTTATGGCACTTGGGAATTGTTGAGAAACATAAGCACCCAAACGTTTTAAAGTGAGAATAGGAAGGAGGCTGCCCAAATAGTAATTCAAAAGTTGATTTATTCTGAAGAAGTTTGGAGGGAAATCTTTTGATTAGATATGTGGCAGTAAGTACACAATCCCCCCAAAACTTAAGAGGTAGTTTGGACTGAAAAGTAGAGCTCTAGAGGTCTCCAGTAAATATCTATATTTTCTCTCCACTACACCATTTTATTGTGGAGTGTGGGAATTAGAGGTTTGGTGAATAATTTCAGTTTCAACAAAGAATTCAATGGCAGAACTGCTAGAGCCAAGTTCAAAAGCATTGTCACTTCTAATAATTTGGATGGTGGTGTTGAATTGTATTTTTATAATGGAAACAAAAGCTTTGATTAAAGGAAAGGCATTGCTCTTGGACCCCATGAGATGAGTCCAAGTAGATCTAGTAAAATCATCTACTATAGTCAAGAAGTATTTGCAACCATTGTAAGTAGGACTGCTATAGGGACCCCAAGTATCTACATGAACTAGTTAAAAATGATGTGTGGTCTTAACAGAGCTATCAGGGAAGGGCAACCTAGATTGTCTAGCTAAGGGGAAAATAGTACAAGTAAAAGGTTGTTTTGAAGAAACTTATAAGGCAGATCATAGATTTCCCTCATTCTAGCAAAGGGCATGTGCCCCAATCTATAATGCCATAAAAGCCCATTTTATTCAAACCAGGATGATATGTACAATGAGAATTAGGAACTGAATCAGAAGCTAATGGAGCATGGTATTTACAATGAAGGAAATCAGAAGGTAAAGAAGAATAACAAGTAGAACTGGATGCAGAATCAAGAACATCAGACTGTGAAGAAGTAGAGGAATGCATAAGCCTGTAAAGTCCATGCTCCAGTTTACCAATGACCAGCGACCTCTTCAGTGAAAGGGCATGTATTAAATAGGCAAACTTAGCAAACAGAACAATGCAATCTAACTGATAGACAAGCTTAGACACAGAGATGAGATTGCAATGAAAGCTAGGGACATACAGAACATGATGGAGTGTAAAAGAAAGAAAATGAAGGGAACTAGTGCAAGTGCTTTGACTTTGTACCCATTAGGTAGGGTGACTAGGTAAGGTACAACTAGAGGTTTAATATTAAATAGAAGATCCTTATTGGAGGTCATGTGGTCAGTGGCTCCAGAGTCTATAATTCAAATGCAATCATTTACCTTAGTCAACATGCAAGCACTATAAAAGACATTTTTAAGCGAATAAGAGGAAGTGAGTATACCTGCAAAATTGGCAGAAGCCATAAGATTGGATTGTGGCACAGATTCTGAAAGTTGTGTCTACTGAAGCAGAAGCATGAGCTCGGTCTACTAGTCTTTAGATAGTCTATGAACCAAAGATCCTTGATCCGTTGAACCTTCAACTTGAGAATGAACACCTTCAGAAACAACACTGGGACCTTGTACCTCTACATTGGCAGCAGTCCTCTTATCTTTGGTGAATTTGAAAGAAGGTGGAAAACCATGAAATTTGTAGCACTTCTCAACAGGATGCCCAGGTTTCTTGCAGTATCTACATACCATACTTGATTTATTCTGATCAAAAGTAACCCTCCAATTGAATTATCTAGTGGATGGACCTATAAATTTGTTGGTGGAATGAGGGTTGAGAGAACTTGGAAGTTTTTGGTGAGATGAACATTGAAGGAAGCAGAATCAACACTAAATTGAGATGGAGAAGACACTTGTCTTTGTCTCTCATCTTGAAGAAGAATACTATAAGTAGTGTCAAGAGATGGAGGCGGCTGCATCATAAGGAGATTGCTCCTAACCCCAACATAGGTCTCGTTGAGCCCATAAGAAACTGGTGTAATTTGTTCTCCTCATCCTCTCTATGAAGTTCAGACTTAGCAGAATAAGTTCGTGAACTCCCACGATAGGCACGCACGAACCTAAGTTCATCCCATAACTTTTCAGCTTATTAAAGTAGGATGCTATGTCTAGTGATCCCTGATTAGTAGAAGCCAACTCCTTTTTAATTTCAAAAACCTTAGTACCATTTACTGTTCGATATCTTCGAATAAATTGAGTCCAAATACTTTTTGCAGTATCAGAATATTGGACACTCTCAACTATATCAAGTGACAAGGAATTATATCTTCGAATAAGTTGAGTCCAAATACTTTTTGCAGTATCAGAATATTGGACACTCTCAACTATATCAAGTGACAAGGAATTATATCTTCGAATAAGTTGAGTCCAAATACTTTTTGCAGTATCAGAATATTGGACACTCTCAACTATATCAAGTGACAAGGAATTATTCAACCAGAAAATGACCATATTATTACAACGGTCCCGCTGTTTAAACTAGGGAGAATTCTCAGGTGGCTTGGTACATGAGCCATCAATGAAGCATGTCTTATTTCTAGCGGACAAAGAGACAATCATGATGCATGTCCATCCCCCAAAACCAGTCCCAGAGAATGGTACAGTGACAAGCGAAACACCAGGTACATCAGAGGAAAGGAGAAAAAGAGGACTCGAGGGATCAAGTGTGAAATTTAAATAAATGGATGAAGACTTGGCAGTAGGGCTCACCATATCATAAAGCGCAGCCAAACAAAGAGCAAAATACTATACTTATTCAGAAAGCAACTACAACACGCAAGTCTTTACCAACACTTAGATGGACACAATAAAACAATTAGTAGATCTGATAGAGAACGAGTGTACCCGTCGTCTTTGTGATCGAAAGACGATAACGACCTTGAAATTGAGTGAAAAATCCCAATTTGCACTGACAAAGAATCAATAGTAAACCCTAGTAAAAAAAACTGAAGCAATCCGGCTGAAAACAACTTCAATCCACTGAAATTGAGCTGAAAATCTGTAGAAATTGACACATTCAAAGCAAAAATCTCAAAAGTTTGTTGACGATCGAAAAACCTAAATGAGCACCAAAAATCGAAAAACTTTGACGAGAATAGGTGAGGGTAACATCGCGAGAAAGCTAGAAGAAAACATGAATGGAATCACTGCTCTGATACCATGTGAACTTGATGAAATTCATATGAAAAATCGGAATGTATTATTCACTATACGAGAGAGGTAAGAGAGGGAGAAGTGAGGTATTCCTACATTTCTAAGGGGTCGTTTGGTAGGGTGCATAAGATAATGCTGAATAAGGTGTATTAATAATGCTGGTATTAGTTATGCTGGCATTAGTTATGCTGACATATTTATTATCTATTGTTTGGTTTGATGTATTAAAGTATTGTACAATTTCTAAATGAATTATTTGTTTACAAAAATGCCCTCAAAACTAGTCCATCGCTCTATCATTTTAAAAGAAACATATGTTGGGAAATATTTTTATATGAAAAAGGTTTTAAAAAATTACTTGATTTGTCTACCTATATTGTAGTATAGAACTAAATATTTATTTATAAAAAAGAAAATATGCTAAGTATTTATTTATTTACTACGGATATAATTTTATTTCTCACTATTTGGATTATTTTAAATTTGCATTAATATAATAGCATATTTTAATCAAGCATAAATTGTGAAAGATAATTTTATCTTTAACTAAGTTAATACATGTATTAAAACCCATTGCATTCCTAATACCATAATTTTCTATACATTAGTTATGCATAGGATAATACCAAATAGGTTGTATAACTAATGCATAGTTTCAAAAAGTGTACCAAACAAGGTATTATTAATACACAAAGCTAATGCATGCATTATTTTATCTAATGCATCCTACCAAATGACCCCTAACAACAACAAAAATAACCCAATATAATTCCACTAGTGGGGTCTGAGGAAGGTAGTGTGTACACAGACCTTACTCCTACCCTGGGGGTAGAGAGGCTGTTTCCGATAGACCCTCGACCCTCTTCCTCTAAGAACTTCCCACCTTGCTCTTGGGGTGACTCGAACTCACAACCTCTCGGTTGGAAGTGCAGAGTGCTCACCACTAGAGCAACCCACCTATATACCAAACGACCCCTAAGTGAATAAAAATATCTGTACATTTTAGTTAAACCTATATACAATTTGGTCAAAGTATAATTGACCCAAAACTCAAAGATAGTAAAACAAATGGGCCTTGTTGCCTATTATACAAATAAATACAGTGTGACCTAACAAGTCATGTGGATGAGCTTCAGACTGGGCTGCGTGTGATTGGGCTGCCCTCCAACTTCAAATCCTAACAATAATTTCTCCCTTTTTAGAAAGTCCACCCGTATTCCCTTATTGTCCTTTGGACTTTTAAGGCCCATTACATACCTCCCTTTAGAACGGGGCAGAAAAATTAACCCAAATTGCTGCCCACCTAATCGTTTAAATTAAAATAGATGGTAAATGTATAATATATGCATAATTTATATATTATATATGTATAATTATGTATAATTGGTGTATAAATTATATATATGACTAGAAAAAATAAACAATGTATATGACCGGCTATATGCGTAAAGATCCCATAGATAAAGGTCAACCGGACCTCTTCCGGGCGGAAAATAGCCCATAACTGAAATTAAAACAACAAAATTCATTGTCTGTTTCATTTCCTTTTAATATCAACATAATTTCCATAAATACGAAGAAAAGAAGTTCAAAAAAAAAAAAGAAGGATATTCTCAAAGGTTGTGCAAAGACAAAGAGAAAAAGAGATGAGGATTTTTGGGAAGCACATATTTCCAAGACAGATTGTACTCTTCTCTTCTGGGTATGCATTTCTTGCTCTTTCTATGTATATATGTAAGACTTTCATTGATTTGTTATTTCGGTTTGTTTTTGTGGCAAATGAAAAATAGGGTGTTGTTCTTGGCTTCAACAACATATGATGTGCACAGATCCATA